TAGGTGTCCCGAGCCTGGGTGCAAGGGAAAGGACTTCTATTCTGCTGGGAAAAAGAGATCTCATCGTCTGTCGTTTGATCTAAACAATGTCGCCGGTTTTGGCTCTGCTGGAACTCCGCGGTCGGCCAAAGAAGCGTCGGCGCTGAGATCCAGAGTCGTGACTAGCTCTTGAAGCCGCGGCGCCTGACGTCGCGCTTTCTGGACGTTCGAGGTCGGTTCGTTCGCGGATGCTCTGGAGGCGAGCGACGTGCGGCTGGTGGACCTCTCTGCGAGCCTCAAACACGTCCTGGAAATCGCTCCAGTTGTTGTCAATGAAAGGCGTCATACCAGTGCGGGAATCGGCGCGAGCGCGAGTGGCCACCGCAGTCCCCGCTGTAGTAGGCTGAGTAGTAGAATGAATGGAGTGAGAGTCGCCTCCAGGCGTCGCAGGCTCGATGCCACTGGGACCGCCGTTCTTGGAAGAGTCGTACGAAGGAGGGGCGCCGCCTGCCCAGTAAAAGGGTGTGTTGCGGGAACCACCAGGTTGCACCTGCCAAGGGCCCTGGAGACCAACAGCGCGAACCTCGGCCATAAGCTGGGCGGCAAACTTGTTGTGTCTTTGCAGACGGAGCAGTTCGTTCTGGAAGTTGGACTTGTGGAAGAAGATCAAGTTCATGGTGAAAGATTGAACCTCATTAAGAGTGCGGACTTCAGTAATAATGCGAGGCTGGTAGTCGCGCTTGTGTTCGAGGCAGAAGTTGAGCATGCGAGACTTGAGCTCCTCGATGAGCTCCGGATCGGTGCCGAAACCAAGCTTGAGCTCGATGGGATCGGCCAGACCGGCAGAACGGCGCTGGTTGAGAATGAAAAGGGTGTTCAGCACACTGTTGGGTGCCTGTACAATGTGACCCTCCATCTTCTTAAACTCGGTGTACAGCAGGGAAATTTCCGTAACGTAGTAATCGTCGCCGGTTCCGGTAGTACCAGTGTTGCCGTAGACAGTGACGCGGTCACCGACATCGAATGGGTGCTTGACGAATACGAAAATGATGGACTGCAGGAACTCTTGGGCGCTGGCCTGGAGCAGCCATGCGAGACCGAGGAAACTGGATCCGGCAGAAGCGAGACCGGCAGCGGCAGAGCCTGAGAGAATGGAAATGAAGACGATGATGGCGATAATGACAATGATGACGAGGAAGACCTTATCAAGCTTTTTGATGACGGAATCGAGATCCTTCAACGAGGCAGCGATAGCCTTGCGCTCAAGATGAATTTCGTTGCAAGTAAGTTCCATCTCTTCCATAGAGATATCACCATTGAGATCCTTGTCGAAAATGCTAAAGGCGTGTTCGGCCTCTTCACTGGTCTTGAAGGCGGACTGCATGTCTTCAAGGTAGATGGTCTCTTGACCGTCCTTGGCGAGACTCCGGAAGATGAGGCGGGCAAGAGAATGAGCAGAACCCGTGTTACGCAACATCTCGTATGTGATCTTGCGGGCATGGTTGAAAGCGACCTTTCGTCCTATGAAGTCGTTTCCAACACGAGCCGCAACGCCACCGGCCTTGTTGAAGGCAGTGCGAACATTCTTTCCGACGACACCCATTGGGGTACGGGCGCCTGACCTGTTGCCGTTCTCGGTTGTGAGCCATATAGAGTCCTCGCGATTGATTCGCATCTTGGAGTGCTCGTAAAGGTGCACCAAATGGTCGATATCGCTCTTGTTCGTCTCGATTCGTTGGACGTAGGTGCGCTGATGGAAAGATGTGGCAATCCATTGGATGCAGATCTTCTCCACCCAATTGAGAGCAGCCAGGACCAAGAAAGCGATAATGACCTTCTGGACGATATCGACCCATTTGAGATCCGGCTTTGTGTCGGTGTCCGGGTTGAACCCATCGGGAAGAACGCGGTGGTCTTCGAGTATGGGCGAGTAAGAGCAAAGAATGGCGAGCATCCACATGAAGAGGGCAGTGTGCAGCTCCAGACCCTGGCCGATATCCCTCCACTTCTTATGGTTCGAAGAGCCCATGACAATGGCAATACCGCCAAAGGTGAGGGGCATAAAGCTGGTAACCATACGCGTAGCCCACAATGAGCACCAGACAACCTCGAGCCAGATTCCGAACCAAGTGAGATAAACGCCGTAGGCACCACCAACGGTAGCGCTTTCGGCGTCCACGGCGAAGTGACCGATGAGAACCGGAATGAGAAGGAGCGCGGCACCGGGAATCAGATAGACAAAGTATCGGAAAACACGTGGGAACTTCCTCAGCCACTTCCACAATGCGAAGGCGAAGGCACCGGCCTTCTTCTCGGGCGGCGGCTTAGCGGCATCGGCAGGGTTTGGACCGTTGGTAGCGAAGACATCCTCGGGCTCCATCTCGCGGGTCCTACCCTGGCGAGAACGCTGCTGGGACATTTCATGTTCTTGGTTGGAGATGAGGCGCTCGGCGCGCAACAACTCCAAATCGTCATTGAGGCGTGAGGCTTGTTCTCGTGAGTCTTGCGGCGACATTGGTCCGCCGTGCGTCTCTTGGGGAATATGAAGGTGGTTGTCGGTGTTTAATCTCGTCAACTTTTCGGGGTGAGTTGGTTGGGAATTGGGATCAGTTGCGGTTTGGAGACTATCGTCCGTATGCTGAGAATGCTTCTCATTTTCGTCTGAATTGGCGCGATCGCGATTATTTGTTGGCGTCGTCATGGTAGGCGGGATGAAGAGGCCGCGAGGGGCCGTCGGTTGAGTTGGGCAAGATTATGTGGTGTAAGTGGAATATGTGTGTCCAAGGTAAAACGTTGTGGTTGTTTTGATTTCCGAGGGATCAAGGTGTCCTCCCTTTTGCTTTGTGTAGGTAAGGGCGAATAGGCCCGATAAATGCCGTCAGAGGCAAAAGAATGCCAGCAAGATGATGTGAATTCGCGATTGGCGTTTGCGGTCGGGTCGTTTCGCTCTTTTTCTCGGTGAGAGAGAATTGCCGCCGGTTGGTGGTGACAAAGGCGCAAGTACTCGCGGTGTGTGTTCCGGGGTGAGTAGCTATGACCACCGGCAGGAACTGCGACGAGGATGGGCAGGAGAGAGGAGGACGGTAGACTCTTCAGTCAAGAAGACTCCAGTCGAAAATTGGTACCTTCCTGTTTCCCCGTGGGTGTAATGTACCTGGAGAGCCGGTAAAGCTGGGGAAAGAAATGGGAGGGAAAGAGCTGGGGATGGAGCTTTTGTTGAAAGGTCGAGGGGAGGAGGGCTGGATGAAATATTTCTTGGGAGGTGCACCTTCCCGTCTTTTGTCGATGGGAAAGCTTAGGTTCGATGGAAGTCACCAAGTATCCCCGTACCTCTTCAGATTCAGATGGAGACCTTGGGAATAAGTGAACAGGGAAAGAGCAAGGGGGTCAAGACCGAAAAGGTAATCAGCAGAAATGGCAGGCACGAGCACTTCCATGTGCTTGTAGTTGTTAATCAGCAAGCGGTCGCGTAGTCTGGACTCTTCTTCTTCACGCTCCTGGTGACATTGGATGGGAGCTTTGGCAGGCAATGGCAGCAAAGATATGGGTACTGCTTCAGTCCCCGACACTCCGATTCCCCAGTCTCTCTCGGTCATTTTAGAGAAACAGGGACTTGTAGAGTAAAACTGGACCTCTGTTTCCCCTCTGGCATTGGAGGGCGCGAGGGGCCCCCGGGGGTGGTGTTTGAGCTCAATGAAATATAGAGGGACGGGGTGGGAACCAAGAATTTGACGACAGCGACGATTCCAAGAATTGGCTCCAGAATTCTATCTGCACGTCCGAGCCTTGTTCACGTTGACCAGTGGTGGCGCTTGTGAATCGCTGCTTCGACCCGCGGCGCCACGTCGGTGCCCAGAGAAAAAGAATGGGGGCGACGCGCGATGATCTTGCTTGGGGGGCTTGCTCGTCATTAACATTTAAAAATTGGGTCTCCATTTTTAGCTGGGCGTGGGCCTTGGACCTGGATGTTGGGGCCATCAATCTGGTCCATCTGGCTTTGGCAATGGCATTTCTTGGTGGTTGAATCTCTTCCCCTTGGTGTTTGCTGCTCAAAGCATATACTGGAACTGTAGGTAAATTGTAGTAATCCTCGATTTGAGAACTAAGGTTAGTAAAAAAGTACCTTGAATATGTACTTTACGATAGCTGAAGCAGGAGCTGTTCATGTTTTTGAGTGACATTTTCTCAGAGTGGGAGCTTGGGCACGCTGCACCCGCGGAGGGTGGCAGTGGCAGCGAATGCGACAGCGATATGCCGGCTGGCACTGGGCTCAAAACCGGGTCCGTGCTATCTGACAGGAGAGCCGCTGCAGGGAACATTCAATTCGTGAACCTGGAAACCTTGGAATCTCGAGCGCCTCCTTCACTGGGATGTAGCTGTTTTCCACGGGTAGGAAGCTTTCATTCCTTCCCCCCTCCCTTTTTTTCTTATTCTTCTCTGGGTGGTGGTGAGGACGGATGTCGCTAGTTTCCAAGGACTGAGAAATGGTCCTTCTGTCTTCTAAAGTCCAGGGGTCCAGAGATCGAAGTTGTTCCCCCGGAGCTTCGAATTGCCTTCCTGCCTTCTCAACGACCACACCCACTCGCTTCCTGCCGTAACGTGCTAGGTATTATAGACGGAAGGCACGAAGGGGGAAGGGAGGGACCCTGAATATCCTCTCCGTCAAGTTGATTACCTTACTCGGGAGCACCGCAATGGGCGATAAGGCCATGCCTGGTTTTTTCGCTGTAACATTGCAATTAACTTTGAATTGCAGAGCCCCGTTGCCTTTTCACTTCGCTCTCGACCGAAACTTTGTGTTTTGCAGCACGGCAATCACTGCACTGCACTGCACTGCACTGCATTGTAAAGTGGTCACTGTTGTGCACTGCAAGCTGCGGATAGTCAGCATAGGTCTTTCTTGGCTTTCCTCTGTCCACATCACGCCCCTTGCGCCGAATATTCATCGTCGGTCCGCGGCAGCTCTAAACTGAATGGCGGCTAGCGTCTTCGTCGTCGTCGTTTACACATTGTCCTCATCGTCATATGCCCCATAGACATCCATCACCGCACATGCGCGCATGGAGAAGATGATGCGAATCGGATTCCCTATTGAGATGTGCCTGCCACACATCATCGGAACCCCATACCAACAATGGGTCACTTTCGAGCATCACATTGTCTCCGACGCTCCGTTCGAATGGCAGATGACTGGTACTGGTGAGAATCCGGAGACTACAGCTGCGCATCCATATGGTATACTGGAGCACAATGAACTGGGAGACCCCCACTGGGTCGAACCCACGATCGCCCGTCATCGCGATCCTTTTGGTGCCTTTCCACTGCGGTATTGCCTGTCCATCCGCACGCCTCATCCCTGGCCCGAGTGGTGGCCGTCGTCTGAGACACCGAGACGCAGTCGCATAGTGAGGCTCTCCGCTGCGTCGCAACGAACCGACTGAACCGTCTCGCCCGATCCCGCGAACAGACGGTCGCAGATCACACACGCTGCCACCCGAATCGCCATGTCATGCCGGCATACGTATACGCCAGGGGAGGGGCATGAAGACGGGCGGGCGGGTAAACCATCAGCACATACGCACCTGGCCGTTACTTTTCGCGCACTGCATCCTTTGCTACACTTGACTACCGTGCGAAAACCACCAAGTGCCTTAAGTAAGGTGTTTAGCAGCATCAAGTTTGCAAGCCACCCTCAACAGAAATAGCGTCCGATGGCTGTAGTCGCCAATGCCCAATCTACTGTGGAAAGGGCCGAAGAGACCAGAGACCATTATGTCACCAGCGCCAGCACCAACCAGTGACGACAGATTGCTCTCAGCACCTTCTCTTAGGCTCTTAGCACACCTGTCCTCCCTCGAGGTTATGCAAGATACTTGGCACTAACTGGGACAACGGTGACTTACAGAAGCCCGAAGCGCGGGAGAACAACTGCCAATGGTAGAAAAGAGACTAAGGCCGGGCCAAACTGGTATCGATACGAGGGACTGCCGCAAATCCATTCCACGAGCGGAAACCATGGCAGAACCGGTGTGTCTTGGCGGCAGTACACCCTCTGGATACTCTTGAAGTTTGCCCTGATCTGATTTTGCCGTCCTTGTCTGGCAATCCTGCATGTGTCTGCAGCGGCTAATCAGCGGATGGCTCATTCGATCTTTTGATGCAAAAAAGTGGCCGTCACCCGCCCTTGTCACATCAACACGCATGCAAATCAATCAACCAACCAACCCACCTCGGATTCCGGACTGCATAATTCGCCTGCCAATGTCATTCAGCTGGGTGGGCCGTGAAAGACGACTCCTCAGGCCCCTTCCTCCTGACCTCGAACTTACAGAGTCGGTTCCTTCCTCGCGTCGGGTCACCTCCAACAAAACACGCACCTTCCTTCTCATTCAAATTGCGGTTTGTGCCTATGGACCGACGGTCGGGTGCAGGTGCGACATGCGTGGGTGCTCTTTCCTCTTGCTACGGTGGACCCCCACTCTCATCGTCTCTCAACATGGCCCCACCCGCCACGGCTGACGTCACACGGCGTCTTTCCTGGACCTTCCATGTTCCGCCTTCGACGACGGCCAAACGGGTCCCCTCGCCCGTTTTTTTCCCCTGCCAAGACTCCAGGACCCGGCCGCTGAGCCCCTAACCCTCAGCTCGGCCCACCGTCCCCCGAATCTTTCGAGGCTCACTGTTTCCAACGCCCGGTGCCGTCACTGTCCGACGTCGCTGGATTTGGCCCACGACCAACAGTCTGCCGAATCTTCAGACACGGAGCCCAACCTCGTTCACCTCCAATTGTCCATGGTATAGCTGCATCCATGATAACCCCCCTCGTCTGCAATGTCCCGGACTCCAGAACGTCCAGAAGAGTTTTCAGAATTTCTGCTCTCTCCCCGGATCGTTGAGTCGGTCTGGACTCCCGACTCCAAACTGAGCTCTCAAAGCTCCGCAGGGTCATCTTGTCAAGCTTCCTACAGGCTATGGAGTACTCCGTACACTCCAGTCAGCAGGTGAAAGTCAGTCGGTCGGGCTCATTGACGATACCACAGAGTCATGGATCACTCGCAGATGGATCAAGAGAGAGATGGCTGCAGCCACAGCAGAACATCAGACAATTGCAAGGGTAGCTCACCAACCACTCAGACTCCAGGACACCAATGTCGCTGGCCGCAATTCACAGGCTGCCGTTAGACCTTGAGCCGTTTCACCACTGACCAGACTCATTTACCCGTACTGACACCACAGGCTACGAAGACCTTACAGTCTCACAGTCTCACCACCACGATTTGACGCTTTGAGACATGCCTTATCTCGCCTCAACACCATCACGGCGATAACGCCTTTTAGCGTCCTTGGAATTCCGACCCTCCTGAAAATCTCTCTTTTCCCACGTCTCTAGCTGCCTTAGTGCCAGAAGGGTTCCGACGCAGTGCGACACACAGCACACAACACACCAACCCGAATTGATCACCACGTCACTCTCCGGCTTGCCCTCTTGAGACTTCCGCCTGTCCGTTTTCTCTCATGCTTGCCCTGAAGCCGTTTGCCACCACCGCCATTGCCCATTCCAGTGGTAGCGGACGGTACATCGCTCGCCGCTGAAAGAGTGCTGAATGCAGGTACCACGCACTCTACTCACCCATAATGGCTGCAGCCACCGAAAAGTTTTCTTCAAGTTAATGGTGTTGGGCTCCCAAAATAGCTACACGACTTTTTCGTTGTCGATTAGCATTTGGCAGTGACAGTCGCAAAGAAAATCAGGGTCATCGTCGAAAGCCGCAGTTCATCGCAACTCTTCAGTGGCTGTGTCAGTAGTAACCTAAATCAATAGGACCTCAAGGACCATTCCAGAAATTCTAGGCCGGTCGGAAAACTCGATCGGCGTCGAATGATCGAAGTTGTCTAGCACCCAGTTGGTCCACCGTCAAACTACGCGTCTAGAATATTGCCAACATGTCGTCATGCTCTGCCGCACACCAGCGAACCGTACAGAGGCTGCGATGGCTGGCGCGTTGCTCACGCTCAGATTCGACATTCAAGCTTTCGGTCCCCGAGCTCGTCTACGCGCATCTCCCGAATAGCAATCCTACGCCCGCAGATTCCCTTCCCATCGAAGTGGTGATCGGCATCAGTCCGGGAGGACAACTCAGAGCAAGCAGATCCCTTGACCCACGATTCTCCGACTGGGAAAAAGAGTGACAAGCATCGCCAACCGCCACAATTCGTGTCCGCATTTTCTCGTAGCGATCTCAGCGAGCCCTTGACCTCCACGACCCCGTATCCTTGGTTGCGAAGCCGCTTGAACCAGGCGCAATAAGATTGAGAAGAGCCAGACCGCTCCTTGGCCCTGCTAATTGCTCAACGTTCTAGACGAATCAACACGCCATCCGCTGCCCGTGCTATCGCTCGCGACCGCCCATATCAAGCCAGAATCCATCCAATATCCCTTGCCGACGACGTGCCCTGACCTTGCGCTTCAGGGCTCCCTTCCGGGGACCAGCAGCCGCCCGCCTAGCGCATATGGGAGCAAACGCACGCCAGCCCACCGGTCTATGGAGTACCGGAGCGGAGGACAGCCACCGCGTGTCCGCGACGCGACAGCGACGTTTCTTCACATGCAAGGCTCCTGGCGCGAAACACCCTGAACCCCCCTGATTTTCAACGACGTGCGACCACCATGCCTGTGCCCCGTGCGGCGATTACGGGAATGAAAATGAGAGGATCCAATGAAGAGAGTTTGCTTTATCTCTCGACAAGACCGCTAATGCGAATCATATTGGCGTTGTCTCGGGTCCATGCCGTCCATGCTTTTGCTTTCGCTTTTCTTCTGCCATGCAATTTGGTTAGAGGAGACGACACTTTGCCATACTTTCTCGTAAATCAAACTCTACCCCTGAGTTGCTGCATAATCCATAGTGAATGAGGCGTCGCAACTCCTGCAACGCGACCACACACTTGCAAGCTCAAAGTTTGTTGTGATTTGTGTGGGCTACGAGATGAAAGTAACCAGAAAGACGTCGAAACATCATATTCCGGATACCCGTATGTAAGATCTGACAGGCCAATCTTCAAATTCAGCGATAATTAGTTGTAGCTCATGAGTTTGCCTACGAATGCGGACAAGTGCAATTCACAGAAGAGAAATATTATACAAGAAAATTAAAGATGCAGTCGGCTTCAGAATTCGGAGCGTGCCTTGAAGCAGTGAAATAGCCACTAGAAAGTGAGGCTAAACCACACTCCGTCTGTTCAGACGTTTGACAGTTCTGCTTCAGAGGACGTCGACAACCTCGACCCATTGAACAGACACCAGCCCCTTGAGTCCATACTCTTCAGCCGGATGAGCCTTGAAGTAATTCGCACCCGCAACAGAAGCAGCGCCACCAGACGTCATGATGCTATCCTGCTCAGCTCTGACGCGGTTATACAACGTTGAGGCAACTTCTACCATGACCACGTTGTCGGCGCCCTCGGAGGGATTCAGGTAGTTTGTGATGTCCACCACAACGTCAGGCGAGCTGTTCACGTCGAGAACGATTCTCTCGTCGTTGACCCGGAGTGCCGTTGCGTCCGTGATGGCGCCTAGGTGGAGATGGGCTCCTATGCGCTGTACCGCGGTAGAATAGGATGGGGTTTGGAAGGTGGCTTCGTAGTCTGCTGTGCCGCTTGTGTTGGCCAGGTTCACGGGGTCTAGATCTTTCCAGGGCGCTAGCGGGCTGTTGAGGAACCGGTAAGGTGTGATGGCGGTTTCCATGGAGAGGGAGTCGTTGCTGCTGCGCCAGTCATTGACTGTGATATTCCATACGTCGAGGGTTGTTGCTTCTGGGAGCCGAGAGGTGTTGAAAGTTAGGGTTTTACCGGTGGAGAGGGTGATTTTCGTGGTACCGGGGGCGAGGTGTGCTGTGATGCGGTAATTGCTGGCCGTGGCATTTGTGTTGGGGTCTCGGGACGTGGTATAGAAGAAGCCTTGGAGGAGACCAGAGGTCGATGTTATGTGAGTGCTTGGCGGACGAGGCAGGAAGGGTCTGTTGTGTTCATCATCTGCGAATGAGGCCTGGTTGGAGAAGGCGAGTATGGTAGTCTGGGTTGCTACGAGCGTCACCGGCACGACGATGTCGTTCTCCTCGACGACGTACTGCAAAAGTGGTGATGCCGAGCCCTTCCAGGCATCGAGAACGTACGGTGTCCTGCCCGCCATATCGAGGAAGCTAACATTCGTAGTCGTGGATTTCTCCCCGTCGTTATACAAGAACACAACCTCCGCATCCTCTGTGCTTCGCGAGAAGGAATACCACTTCTCAACAGCATCATCTTTCAAGAACATGACCCGAGGCCGGATGTTGAGAGCAGCAAGAGCAGCTGGTACCTCCTCCACGGATGCAAGTACCTGCACGCCCTCCATCATAAGAACCTGAGCCATGATGTCCGGAACGGATGCGGCCCCGTCTGAACCAACGCTCTGGAAATCCGGGCTTCCAACAACGAAGATCGGCAGTCCTGCTTCCGCAAACACTTTCGTTTGCGTCGCCATCTCCGGCGTCAACTTTGTCTGGTTGGCAAAGATGAGTGCCTTATACGCAGGTCCGTCCGGAGCAAGGATGCCGTCTTCGCCGACAACGGCGTTCGTGGAGGAGAAGCTTGCAGGGCCGAGATAGTCGTACGTGAAGCCCATCTTCTCAAGATTGTCGCTCTCATAGACCACCTTGTCGAACGGTGCAGCGTACTGATAAAACGCAAGATCAACCTTCGCGGTACCAACTTGACTGACAAACTGGTGCCTTGCAACATACGCCATCGCATCAGCCATGAACCCATCACTGGTATCGTTGTCACCTTTACTGTCGACGTGTTGACTACTCCCCCTCCACGCCGGCATCCGTGGCCCCCACATGTCGGTAAATGTGTACGCGAAGACGGTATACCCAGGCCACGTCGTCTGCGCATAGACGCCAGAATACGCGTACCCGTGGACGACATTCATGCTCACACCACCCGCGAGACCGCGGCGGACGGTGCGGAGCAGGTCCGCGATGGTCTGGGTGTACGATGCGCCGTTGACGGCGCCAGCTTCGGAGGAGACAACGGGGTTGCGGGCCATGTGAGCTGGGCCGGAGACGTGGCGGTAGAGGGAGGGAGAGTCGTTGAAGCCGAGGGACTCGCCTTCGGGTGCGTTGACGAGGGGGATTGAGTCGAGCATGTTCAGGGGCAGGTTGTAGGCTGGCTGGTTGGAGTATTCTAGTCCCCGTTTGCGAGCCCATTCTGAGGTTGTAAGGATGTAGTCTTCGTATCCGGCTTGGAGGGTGAGGCGGTAGTCGTCGTTGCAGCGGGAGACCATGGTACTTTTGTCCTTTGAGAGGAAGGATTCGCCGTAGGGGAGACTTTGGGCTGCCCAGTAGTTTTCACGTTGAATGAGGAAGGGGAGGCAGGTTGCGATGTCGTAGCCTCTTTCTGCGCGGAAGGTATCGGCGAAGTTGTGCGTCCACCAGAGGGCCGTGTCCATTTCCATGCTGTCTTCCCAGGCTTGAAAGATTGAGACATTAGCAGCGGCCTCTGGACCTGATGGGGGTTTGACTCCGTGGAAGATGGCAGCTCTACATACCGTATTTACCAACCCGCGCGAGGAGCTCTCTGTCCTGCCCTTCGGGGACGATGTATTCGTCAAAAAAGTCCGTCAGCTTCTTCGCCCCCGCGGCGCTGAAGTGATCGGTGACCCAGGACCCATTCTGCACCCACGTCGCGGCATCGGGCGCGCCTTCGACGGAGCGCTGGTTGGTGTAGCGTGTATACCAGGCCATTATGCGCCATGCGTTTTGTGAGTCTTTGGGGGTCGTCCATGAGATGAATTTCGTGTAGGGATCGACTGAGGTGGTGATGTCAATGACACGGCTGAGATTGACTGCTGTGGATGAAGCATTGAATGCCGGTGTTTCTTCGACAGCTAGGACGAAGGAGAGGTTCTGCTGGCCGAATTCTTCGCAGGGGTGCATGAAGAAGTGGAGGGAGGGGCTCGCGGGTTGAGTTGAAAGGGGAAGGGTCCCGTTGAAGACGTGTCCTGGGGCGACTGTGATGTTGACGTATGCCTAATAAAGTGGTATTAGCCATCCCGATCCTCATACCACAATTTCCGCGAGAGGGCCAAGGATCTAAGTCCCGCGAAGGGAGTTCAGAAGCAGAATAATCGACACTCACCAACTCCAACGCCAGCCCAACACTCTCCGGCTCCGAGGGCACGCCCTGCCCCTGATTCGCGCCAATTGAAAAGTCAAAGAGGATGTCATTGTCCGCGGCCGCCTGCATCGCCGCGCGGAAGACGGTACGAGAAGCGTTTGCGCCGTAGCCGTAGGTTGACCAGTTTGCTGAAGGCGAGCGGAACTGGTAGTAGGGTAAGAACTCGAGGCCGCCGGCGCCAACGGAGGCTATCTCGGCCACGTCGCGGGTGACGGCTTCGATGTCAACTTCGGCATCTGGGAGCCTCATTTAGGGTGAGATGTCAGTGTTGAGAAATTAAGGGAAGGCTGGTTTGGGTAGAGTAGATCTCACCAGTATCTGAACTTTGGGCGGTAGATGTTCGGAGGGGAGACGAAGTCGTCAAGGCTGTGGGCTTGGGATATCGTTGATAATGACGCTGTCAGCGCGGCAAGAGCTCCTAGGCCACGCATGATGTCTTATTGTGGTGAGATAGCCCGTGGGAGCGTCGGTATTCTTGTTTTACTGAAAATCGAATAGGCTTCAGCCCCCTTTTAAGATGGGCGTCATTGAGCAGGTACGCGGAACTTGAACCGCATCTCTGCTCTCATGGGGAGAACCCTCCAGTAGTATCATACTAGTCATCGTTGTTAATAAGTGGCTGCGGAATTTTGTATACGATGCAGATGAGATGATTGTGGATGGAGTTACGCGTGCAAAATTACATCAAAGTTCCAAGACCCTGTACTGCGGCCTCACCAAGGTTGGGTGTATACGAGATCGAAGTCATGGCGGCCGATACGCGTACAGCACTGGGCCTTTCTCGAGATGGCTCGAACAACACCAGGAAGAGAAGACTTCGTGTGAGTCTTGAGGATCAACTCCGCGGGTGATGGCCTGAGGCGGTGGTGAAATTGATCCATCATACGTCCAATCTGCCAGTACTGCTAGTTGGGTTGCAAGACATCGTCATCAGCTATGCCGGAATCGTTGAAAGGTGCGTGGTTTCTCTATGCTACATGCTTGAAGGGGCCACTTCTCCAGGAAGATGATACCCGTCGTCATAATGTCGGCCGAGGCCATCCCTGCAAGGGCCGGCGATGCAACGGCGATGCGGGGCATACGAATGCGAAAACGCGGGTTCGCAGCCCCGTGGATGGAAACAGAACCCGCGCTTCTTGATCTCTTCCGCCACACTGTAATTACTCGACATCTCTCAGAGGACTAGTCTTCCTAAGCTTAATTGCATCCTTGTTTCTGACTTCTACAATGGCTCTCGAGAAGAATGGAAGAGTAGCTGGCCGTCAACCGTCTAGTGGGGAACACGGTTCGAGAGGGGTAAATGAGGGACAGAGCTGCTGGTGTCAGTGTGCTTACTATTCATCCAGAGTAAGGTAAGGTACGCTTAAGTAAGTACGTAGTCAGTTTCAACTTCATCTGTCTTCCATCACCGTTGTGCTTGTGAGTTACTTTGAAACTTTCGACAAGCCTTCCTCTCGCGACATGAGTATCATGGACAGGGCCGTTGCCGTCGTTCAAAAGAACCGACAGCTCGTTGTGGAAAACGTCGTGCTGCCGGCGCTCCAACCTCACCAAGTCTACGTCAGCGTCGAATGGGCAGCATTCAATCCCACGGACAGTATGTCATGCAAGCCATGCCACTCAAACCCCGCGGCTCGCAACCCGCAACTCAATCATCCCCGGCTCCAGCTTTGTGTTTGACGCCCAGCTTACTCATTCCACACCAGGACTTGCGTTTGACGTTGATGCATTCGGAGATGGCGCTGTCCTAGGCTGCGACTTTGTCGGCACTGTTTTTCAAGCTCATCCAAATGTGAGTAGGTTGCAAGTTGGTGATAAAATCGCCGCGTTAGTTTGGGGTGGTAAGTTTTCCCATGGTTCTCACGGACTGTGCGTTACTGACCGTGGACTTGCACTTATAGGGGAGATAAAGGGTGTTGGGGCCTACTCGTAGGTTTTCGTTCACGGTCGCTTCAAGTAGGTTTGCTCACAAGTTTCGAACTGGATAGATCCTATTGCATCGCCGATGAGCGCATCTCATTCAAGGTTCCGAAAACCGTCGAGGGCCCCAAGGCCAGCGCCGTTCCACTTGCCGCAAACACTGCATACCTGGCACTATTCTCCGAAGATTGCCTCGGCCTCTCGCGGGATGTATCTACCACCAAGCCTCCTGTGCTAATCTGGGGCGGAAGTTGTAAGTCATGAGATGGCCGGACACAGCGTTTCTCAATAAACAAGATTGAGGCCACTGATAACGTTCCAACATAGCCGTCGTCGGATACTTCGCCATCCAACTAGCCAAGCTTCACGGCTACGCCGTAGTCACCACCTGCAGCCCCCACAACTTCGACTACGTCAAGAATGCCGGGGCTACCTACGTCTCTGACTACAACGACGCCGATGTAGTAGCCAAACTCCAGACCGCAGCACCGACGCTATCACACGTCTTCGACACCATCGGTAACGCAAGCTCCTCCGCGACGGCAGCCGCTGCTCTGAACGGCAGACCTGGAGTTCTCTGTACAGTCCGCCCGGGCAAGGCAAACACCGAGGAGGTGCCAAGCAACATCAAAGTGACTGATGTGTTCGTCTTCACCGCGTTTCCGACGGCCCATACGTACCGAGGACTAGTGCACTGGCCTGTACGTCTTTCCCGTTCTCCCTCTTTCCTGCTCGGCTTCCATCATAAGATCTCGCCAGGCCGTGCGAGTCGCTCACAGGTCGCGTCCATAGGTCTCCATGCCGAATCACCTGCTAAGTGCTGAGCTGTACGAGCGGCTCCCAAGTCTGCTTGAGAGGAATGCCATCAAACCGCCTCCGGTGAAGGTGCTCGGAAGATTAAGCCCTCGGTCAGTCAATGAAGCAATGGAATTGAACCGTGCAGGAAAGATATCCGCAGAGAAGCTTTGCTTTGATGTCTCTTCTGCTTCCGGTAAGCAGAGCGTGTAAGTTGGTCCGAATCCAAACGCAAATAGCCCCAGACAACGAGTCGATGCTCGGGTCACCTATGGAGTAGGAATCGCAATTCTAAGCATCTTACAGGTGATTCTCCAATGTTTACGAACTAGGCGAGCAACTCGCTCTCCCTCTAGAAGGTTGGCCTCAACATTTAGCGCATTGAGCGAGCCCTTCCCATCGCAGAAACCAAGTCGTTATCCAGGACAAGATGTTTGTAGGCTGTAGCCGCTACCCCTGAGCATCTCGCCATGCAGAGGTCCACCAGGGAAATCAAGCCCATCGCAAGCGAGCGAGGCTGTGCTAAGCTTAACAGGCTCCCCGGACATGTGGAGTTACAGAGCCAGAACTCACGCCATCGTGGATTGTTTCCAGGCGGAAGTCGGGGGCGGAGGGGAGCGGAAAATCTTGGGAATGAGGCTCCACGAAGTCTATCCACTGCAGCGGAGGAGCCCCGACCGATGTTGCACCGTTCCACCCACAAGCCACCGCCCCAGTTCTAGATTAAATAACCGAGATCGCACGGAGTCACAAAGGGGTAAGGAGTTTATGCTCAAGTTAAGCAATCTTTATGAACGTGTTCGTCAATTCTCTCTCTAATGGAGCGCTCTAATGACTTGTGAAGTCTCTCGATCATCAGCCCTTGTGGCGATCAGTGGAGCTCACTGTGTCTATTCTTAGTGTGCTTCACCGCTCAGGCGTCTTCGTCGTTTTCCCGTCTCCTGATCGTCGAGTTCTGCCGTTCAGGACATCCCAGGCGAAGAATCCAACGATGAAGCACGTCAGAGGTGTTGCGCCAGCTCAAGTATGTCTCCTCATCCTCGGACGGTGGACTCGTATCCTTGTACGGTCTCAAGCCAACGCGATGTTGAAGTCCTCTCCAACACGGGCGGCAACTCTGCCTACAACTGCGTAGGCGGCGCGGCCCTTCTCGGCAGCGTGGTACTGAACAGGGACAGTCCAGCTTTTGCCCTCTGACGTGACAGTAACCTCCTTCTTGTTGAGCTGGTTGGTAGCACCAACAACAATGATCTTGTCGACGTAAACCTCCTTCATGGCCTTGAGCCAGGAACCCTCCTTGGTAGACTTGGAGTCACGGCCCTCGGCATCAGAGGATGCAATGGTCTTGCCGTCAAGCTTGAACTTGCGGTAGATGTACTGGCCCTTCTCGAAGTCGAAAGAGTCTCCGTCATCGACGTACAGCTCACCCTCGGCATGGCCATCTTTGCCAACGCTGATGACGAGGGTGTAGTCGTCGAAGCGCATGAGCTTAGCCGAACGGCGGGGGCGGTCACGGCGAGGAAAGATGTGGCCACCACGCATGAGAAGCGCGATCTGGTCGAGGGCGACGTCCCTGGTGAGATACTGGCCCTTCTTGGTGGCGAGCTTTTCGTAGGTAAAGTAGTCGTAGTACACTTCGTCATCAGGAATATAGATGTCGACAGACTCCCTGTCCTTCTCAACAACGGGCTTGTGGAGAAGACCAGTCGATCCGACGAACAGCTGATCGTCAATGGCGAAGCCAGACTCCTCCGTGGGGTTGGTCCAGAACATGGGACGAACAATCGGGCTGCCGTCGCGATGGGCGTGGAAGAAGGCAGTGTACCACGAAGGCATCAAGCTGTAGCGAAGGCGGATGGCGGCAGTGAGGATGCCTCTGAACGGCTCCGCAAGCATGTAAGGCTCGCGGCGACGAGCATCAATGTGAGCGTGGCCACGGAAGAAGGGGTAGAAAGCTCCGCCCTGGTACCAGCGTGCCATCAGCTCAGGCTCGGGGTTACCGAAAAAGCCTCCAACATCGGCGCCAGCAAAGGGAAATCCGGAAATGCCCTGGTTCAGAATCATGGGAACGGCAGCGCCCAGGTGCTCCCACGATGCCTGGTTGTCTCCTGTCCACATGGCACCAAGACGCTGAGAGCCAGCGTAGAAGGAGCGGGTAAGGACGAAAGGTCTGCGGAGCTCGCCCTTCTTGCGAGTGAGGAGAGCCTCAAAGGTAGCGTTGTGGAAGGTCATGCCGTTGATGTTGTGCACATCACGGTGCTCCCAGTTTCCGTGGTGAATGTTGTCCTTGGGCATGGTAACCTCAGGTCCATTAAACACAGAGGGCTCGTTCATGTCGTTCCAGATGAATGTGTTCTCCATGGTGCCCTTGAAAGCGGCGTAGTCGAAGAGGCCAGCCCACCACTCGACGGCCTTGGGGTTGAAGCAATCGACCCAGTGCGAAGAACCAGGCCAGCACCAACCCTCGAAAGGCTTGCCCTCCTTGTTCAAGACGGCTAGGCCCTTGGAGTTCATTTGCTCGGTGATATCGTACTTCCCCTCGTTCTTAATATGGGGATCGATGATAACCACAAGGTTTCTGCCGTGCTCATCAAGAGCCTTGCCCATGCCGATAGGGTCCTTGAACATGTCGGCGTCCCAGGTGAAGTACTTCTTGCCATCGGTGTACTCAATATCGAGCCAAATGACGTCGTAGGGGATCTTGAACTTATCAAAC